TATCTCATAAACATCACATCCTACCCACCCCCTTCTCTCTCTGTCCACCACTAGAAACTATAAACCCTCATGCAAACCTACTGGCTATATAGTAGAAAATAACTGTACACTTCTGTTTACAGCAGCAAAACTGTAAATGTCTAAATAGAATCTAATTGATTTATGGCTGCATATTAGTTGCATTAAACATTGATCTCCCCCTAAAAGGTGAGGTATTCATAACCTGCAGGGACACTATAAGATTATAGGGTAGAAACTACAATACCTCAGACTCACACTGCAAGAAAGAAAGACACATAGACAACATGACAAACCAAGGGAGGAAAATGCCACAAATAAACCAAGATACTATAATAATAGAATCCATTGATATAGATGAAAGATGAAATGACAGAGAAGGAGTTCAGAATGTATATAATTAAAATGATCTGCAAATTAGAGAATGACCTGAGAGAGCAAATACAGGCAAAAATTGATCACTCCAACAAAGAGATAACAGAGCAATTACAGGCAACAATTGATCACACCAACAAAGAGATAAAAGAGAAAGACAGCAAAAGATTACTTCAAGAAAGAGATACAGGGGGTCAGGGTTGTTGCTCAGTTGTAGAGCACTTGCCTAGCATACATGAGGCACTGGGTTCGATCCCCAGGACCACATAAAAATAAACAAAATAAAGGTATTGTGTCCATCTACAACTAAAAAAATAAATAAATAAAAAAAGAAAGAAATAGACAGAGATTTTGAAGGGGGAAAAAAAACCAGAAATCATAAACCAAATAAAAAACTTGATAGAAAACATCACCAACAGATTAGATCATTTGAAAGACAGAACCTCAGACAATGAAGACAAAATGTTCAATCTTGAAAATCAAGTTGACCACACAATGAAGATAGTAAGAAATCATGAACAGAACATCCAAGAATTATGGGAAAATATCAAAAGACCAAATCTTAGATTTATTGGGATAGAGAAAAAAATGTACAACCTCTTCAATGAAATAATATCAGAAAATTTCCCAAATGTAAAGAATGAATTGGAAAATCAAATACAAGAGGTCACCAAATGTACAAAATTACAACAGATCTACACCAAAGCACATTATAATGAAAATGACTAGCATACCGAATAAGGGTAGAATTTTAAAGCCGCAAGACAGAAGAATCAGATTACATATAGGTGAGACAAATTTGGATCTCAGCAGATTTTTCAACCCAAACCCTCAAGGCCAGGAAATCCTAGAATAACATACCAAAATCTGAAAGAAAATGGATGCCAACCAAGAATCTTATATCCAACAAAATTAAGCTTCAGGGCTGATGACAAAATAAAAACCTTCCATGATAAACAAAAGTTAAAAGAATTTACAACAAGAAAGCTGCACTACAGAACATTCTTGGCAAAATATTCCATGAAGAAAAAATGAAAAAACAATGAAAATCTGCAAAGGGAGGAACTATACTAATGGAAAGGCCAATCAAAGGATAAACAATGTCAAATTAAAAACCAGAAATAAACCAAAATGACCAGGAATACAAAACATATTCAAATAATAACCCTGAATGTGAATGGCCTAAACTCATCAATTAAAAGACACAGACTGGCAGACTGGATTTTATAAAAAGACCCAACAAATGCTGCCTTCAAGAGATTCATCTCACAGAAAAAGACATCCACGAGCCCATGAAAGGTGAAAGGATGGGAAAAAAATGTATCTCTCACATGGACCATACAAATAAGCAGGGTTTCTATCCTTATATATCAGATAAAGATGACTTCAAAGTTAGTGAAAAGGATAAAGAAGGACTTTTCATACTACTCAAAGGAACCATACATCAACAAGACATAACAATCATAAATATCTATGCCCCAAACAATGGGATGTCTATGTATATCAAACAAAGTGTTCTTAACTTCAAAAATCAAATAGACCACAACACAACACTGGGTGACTTTAACACACCTCTCTCACCACTGGATAGATATTCCAAACAAAAACTAAACAAAGAAACTATAGAACCCAATAAAATAATCAATAATTTATACTTAACATATATATATATGGAATATTCTATCAACGAGTGAATACACTTTTTTTTCCCCAGCAGCACATGGATCCTTCTCCAAAATAGACCATATGTTATACCACAAAGAAACCACATCAGGAAGAAAAGAGTAAAGTATTTAAAAGTGTTGGAAGGGAGAGACACCATTCTAGAAATCTAGATACACTGTAATTACTCTTCCAAAGAAAAGGAGAAAAACAAAAATTGAGGAATTCATTGTCAGAAGCCATGTGCTGCAAGAAATTAAAAGTTGTTCTTCAGAGAAAGGAAAATGAAAGAGGTCAGAAACTCAGACACAGTATACACAAAGAAGGGAAAAAACTGGACAAGTAAATGAAACGAAAATTGCATCTTTTTTCTTAAATGATCTAAAAGATAACTATTTAAAGTAACAAAGTAATAGTAAAAATGTCTTGGGTGATTAGAGCCTACAGATACATGAAATGAATGGTAACAATATAATAAGGGAAAAGAAGAAGAAATTACGAATATTCTATTTAAGATACCTGTACTGCACATGAAGTAGGACAGCAATGACAGAGTACTTTACACTAGCTAAAATTATGTTGCAAACACCAGGACAACAATTTTAAGAAATTTTTAATAAGTATAATTTATATGCTAAGAAAGGAGAAAAAATAGAATCACATAAATACTCAGTTAAAACTAGAGAATGGGGTAGAGGTGTGAGCACTTGAAGCTTTGGGTTGAACCCCTAGCATGGGTTGGGGAGGGAGGGGTTTGGCTATAATATCACAAAGATAGCAGGGGGCAGGAGGGAGGGGCAGTAGGAGAACCAGAGACCACAAAGGCCAAAGCTTGGAAAAGTATAATTAACAACTGCTTTCTGGGATTAGAGTACTGTACTGTGTAAATAATGTAATAGGGAAATATCAGTAATGAATTTTTTTATTGAAATAACTAAATAAGGTTTCTTTTAATAACTTTTTATAGGAAAAGAAGAAATCAAATGACTAAACATAATTATTTCTAGAAGATAATTTGCATAATTTTATTAGTTAGATTTTTCCAGGAAAATAAATTATTCAAGGCATTTTAAGAAAAGCATATTTTTATAGATAAAATAAAACTTATTATAAGGATGAAGGTCAAAAAAGCTGCTGCTAGTATACAGGAAACCAGAAAACAGAGATCACACCACAACTCTGATGATGATTTCAGTTTCCTCAGCAAAAAAGGGAGTTCTTTCCAAGACATTACTGGACATTATGTGTATGAGTAATTCAGACAATCACAACACATTATTCTCTTCTATTTTACAAAACATATAAAAAAAAAAACCTTTCTTTTATGAGAATCTGAAACTGGAATCCTGCTGACAATGGGATCTACAACACATTCCAGGCTTCTTGCTGCAGAAAACAAGGGCTGTGATGAATGATCGTTATCTAATATCATTTGTGTTCTACCCTCCACATAAAATATCAGTCAAATATGCAAATAATTCACATGTAAATAAATGGCTATCCTAAGATATTCTGTAAAATGGGACAATGTTCCATCCCATGTCCATGCCTGTCATGCTGAACACTGGTAAAATTAATATTCTAGAATTTGGAAATAATATGTGATATAGTACCCAATTTCTTTTTTTTAAAATTTTTTAATTGATTTTTTAAAAAATAAATGACAGCAGAATGCATTTCAATTATTATTATACATATACAACACAATTTTTTAAAATGAAAAGAAATAATTGCTTAAAATAAAACATAGGAATATTTGAGAAGAAAAACAGACATGGACAGAAGTACTAAATCAGAAAAAGAGAAAGCCACCAATCTCCTCTACCCAATTATATATTTTCTCACAAATATAGATAAAAAGCCTAACATAAAAGAGACCATGAATGATGAACTATGGGTCTCAAATATAACAAATAGAAAGAAAATGTAATACTATCACAAATAAGCAAGTTTAGAATGTTAATAACATTACTCCTGGAAGTGCCTTCTGTTTTACAACCCTAAATACATTTAACAACTTCAAATGGAAAATTACCTCCTTCTAATGTCAAAATACAACTGCTGCCATTATATAGCAAAATGGAGAATGTAAGCCATAAATGGTTTTATGATTTTTGTTTATTACAGCCTTAGATACTTGCACATTTATGTACATGTATAGTTTATTAAATATTCTACGGACTTGTAAAAAAATACAACTGTCAAATCTAAATTGGTTATAATTGGAATCTTTAATCTCAAATAAAGGACTTTCCCCACACAATTCGAAAGTAACTTTAAGCTACTGGATTTTCTTCCTTTCCTTAGCCTCAGAACATGATTTCCTAAATGAACATAATATGTTAATCTATGGAAAAAGAGCAAAAGTAGAAGTCTCAAGACTAAGCTCCACCCTTCATTCATCAGTCAATGAATTGAATTCAGTTAATGTAATTGCTCAGAAGTCTAAGTTTCAATTCTCATAAAGTTAGATAGGTAAGAGATTTAAATATTGAAAGGGCTCTGAAAACTATGAATTGCTACTTAAATATTACAGAAGTATAAAGCAAAGAAATAAATGATAAATATCTACACCATTCCTAACATTTTCATTATGTTTAAGTACCACTGTTACATTATCTCCTTTCAGGAAGTTTAATTCTAGTGGAGGAAAATATCACAGAATTGAGATTTTTACATCATAGTCTCAAATGTCACCAATAAGGGAGGTATATATTTTAATCTTCCTCTAAACTATAAATTTTCTAAGTGATTGGGGTTCTAATGAATAAAATAAAGTAGGCTAAGAACACTAAAAAAAAAAAAATCAAACAAGACACAAATTACCATTTCAAACTTTGGGGGTTTATTATTCCACTTGTAAATTAATCCATATAAACACCCTAGACTTACCTACTGTGCTTTTAATTAAAACAAAGTAAGAAAATGGGAAACTTTTTGTTAACCTTTTTCAGCTGCAATTCCATTTTCAAACATTCCTCCTTCTTCTGCTCCAGAGCAATCTCTAGTGTCTTGAGTCTTGAGTCCTTTTTCAGGCCTGAGGAAGCCAGGGAAGAAGCATGCTCTTTCAGATCCAAGAGTGAAGCCTAAAAGAAGCAAGAAAACCTAGAATAAATATGCAGATTGAAAATTTGAAATTTACTATCATGGTGGCTTGCAGTTTCTTTCCATTTCAAGAACATTCATGAACTATAAAACAATATTAGCTTTAGCTTTCAAGTATTAATTAAAATAAGATGGATTTCTAAGAACAGTGACTGAGTTCTAACTATACATACTCTTTCCCACAAAACAAAAGTAGATCAAGCTTTGTGAATATAAGGAGTCAACTTTAATAGCTTCATAAACTTAAAGATAAAACATTTTTTTCCTTCTAAAGGAAATATTCTATTAGGAACTCACTTCCACAAATTTTCCTAAAGGTATTGGAAAGAAAATTCAGAGAGACCCTAAAGCTCTTGCATTATTGTTTTATCACATGTAACGGTTTTAGTTATTTTAGAATATATAAAAATACCATTAACAAGTAAGAAACTAACACAAAACATGATGAAAGAGATAGCAAAACTTAGGGAATAAATAAACCAATTTTATTATGTCTTTGCAAAACTCCTGAAATATCCTTTGAGTCATTCACAAAAAGCCTGCTGTAAGAGTATTAAAATCTTCCATCAAATACTTCTCATATATAAAACATAAACAACAACACATACATACAACAATGCAATAACTAAGCAAACCAAATAATTCCATTTTAGTGATTTTAACTAACCTCTTTCTCTGAGAGGTCGCCTTGCAACAGGCTGACTTTTTCTTTCAAGTCTTTAAGATCTTTTTTGTAGTTATCAATTTCCTCTTGCTTCTCTCGCTCATCTCTGTCCCGCTGTTCCTTTAAGCGTTCAATTGTTCGCTCCTGAAGACAAAACACATCAACACATGAGGAAATTCCTTTCTGTGCTTAATATGACTATAATTCTGCTTTTAGCTGATAAAGTGACACTTCTATCCTCTGTTCAAAAGATTGGTAATTTTTTAAAAAATTCACTTTTTAAAAATTTATCCCTCCTTCCTATATTGTCATAACAAAGCTCCGGCTTTGCTTTTTTTGACTTCCAAGTTTTCTTTTCCTATTATTTCAAATATTCAGATCACCAATATAGTCTCTTGAAATATTCCCATTTAAATTCAATTCCCAAATAACTAAAAATTTCCATACTCACCCATAGGACAATAACTAATAGTTCTTATTTATAATTCACACATTGACTACAAGTCAATGGAAATCACAACTCACACATCAAGAAAAGGGAAGGGAAGAGACTATGATATGTTGAGCCTAAAGTATACAGGAGGGTAAAGAAGAGAAAAATTAATTTAAAATTATGTCTGTCAACAGATGCTCAGGAAGTTACAAAGTTGAGCAATGTTAAGTATATTTCCAAGTGATATTTCTAAGTATATTAAGGGAGGAAGGCTTGATCCTAGCATGTTATCCTGAAGCCTTCTGAGTCCAGGAGACTTAAGGAACAGTGACCCTGCCTCTTTAAAATAATCCAATTAAAATGTTGCATAGAGATTATCCAAACCACCTTCTAAGACATTAACATTGGCCAGCCAGAAGCAACTTAAAATCCCAGCAACTTAGGAGACTGAGCTGGGAGGACTCCAAGTTTGAAGCCAGCCTTAATGAGACCTTATGCAACTTAGTGAGACCCTGTCTCAAAAAATGAAAATGGACTGGGAATGTAGCTCAGTGGTAAGGCACCCCTAAGGTTCAATCCTCAATACCACCCACTGCCCCAAAAATACATTAACACTGGCCAGAATAGGCTAGTTCTTTAGTCAACCATTTACGAAAAATAAGGTTTACTCATAAAGCAGTATAAAATAGGAAGATCCAGACTAGAAAATTAATAAGAACATTATATTAATGAATAAAATCTATGAAAATATTAGGCACCAAAGTGAACAGTAAAGGAGGAAGACTATGTATTGCCTCCTGATATAGTTAATGTCTGGTAATGTCTCACATTCCCACATTCTAGTTGACCATATTAATAAAAAGAAATTTTCTTTTTCTTCAAAAAGCAGCAAATGGGGATCATAAGACTCATTCTTTAGAAAAATCAGCCAGTGCCCTCTAGCATGGAATCCATCTTGCCTGGGAGCAGGTGCTCAAATTGACAAGAACTAAATGGATTTGCTTTCCCCTTTACACTAAGTATACTGGCAACAGTACAGTAGAGTTCTTTTTCCTTTTGCTAAAAAGGATCTCTTCTGTATTCTATATCCAGTTTTCAGTTAATGAGAAATCAAGAGAAACATGACCGTGAAGTGTCCAGACCCTTCACTTTATCTGCAAGACTCACTTTCTCTGCAAGGGCCTCCTCCAAAGTCGTAAGGGCAGTGTCGGTGTTGGTGGTGTCAGCCTGCAAGGATTTGACTCGTTCTTTCAAGCTGCTCATCTGCTTTTCCTTATCTCTAAGTTGCTCTTGAAGATTTTCAATCTGTATGCATTCACATTAAAGAGAAAAAAAGACATTAAGAAAAATGGAAATAAATACTATAAAAATCATTGAAAGTTAGAAACAGATTAGGGTTGTCTATGTGTGTTCTGTGGAAATCCTTTAATCCTAAAACTTTCAGAATAACGTGCAAAACCTTAAGACTAAAATTTACAGCCAGAACAAAGAAAAAGCAAACACATAGATATGGACAGACAGACAGATATATATATATATAAAAATCCCTAAAAAAATCAAGAAGGTAGCTGAGAGAAAAGATGCAACACAAGAGATGGAAGGGCAGACAGGTATTGCACAGGAAAGCCACAAGAGTGGGATTAACTTCTAAAATGACACTACAAGTGTCAAGAAGGATTACTTCACAAATAATCAGGAACAGAATATAGAACAGCTAGACAGTAAGAAAAACAAATCAGCTACATAAAGGAAAAACTGTTCTTAAATGCTAGTGTTGTTAGATTTTACATCATCCTTTATCAAAACAACATCTACAGTAAAATTTCTTATTGTAGTCATGCATTCGTTCATACATACATGCATTCACTTAATAAAAAAAACTTATTGAGTTCTTTATTGTATGTCAGACACGAGTAACACCAAGAAAAATAAGGAGACCCATTTTTATTATATGATGACATGGCAAGAGAGTTCCCCGTTAGGTAGCTGAAGCTAAGCAACAGATGAATTTATATGCCTTCTAAGGAGACTTTATGGTAGAAAGCTAGAAATCATTAGAGATTACTAAGCACAGAAATGGCCTGGCTATTTTATTTAGATAATTCTGATGGCTGTGGAGGGGAAATTTAAAGGAACTTAAATACAGCCATGGAAAAGAATAGCAAAATGGATCAGTTCAGCAAAGAGATATGGGAACTAAGAGAATAAGACATATGGAAAATAAGGGATGTATTTGAAAAAAAAAACTGTGGGAATTGCATGCTATCACTAGGGAGATTCGAGTACACAGAAAGAAAAATATTAAGGAAAAAATGAAGAAATTCTAGGGAGAGTACTCACTCTACCACTGAGCTGCAGTCCCAGGCCTACAGAAATATTCTGAATAACTAAAGAAAAATTACAAATAATTCCATTACTCTAAAACTCACAAAGTTAATTCATTTACTCAACACATGTTTCAGTTCCTGCTATCTGCCATACATACTTCCAGGCATTGAAGATACAGAAATAATCAAAACACACCCAAATCCCTGCCTTCACAGAGCTTACATTCTAGTACAAAAAACAAATGAAGAAAGAAATGATGAGAATGAATGAAGTATGTAGTAGAAAAATTAAGCAAGAGAATACTATCAGAGCTAGTACTAGAACTAGTACTTCACATGGCTTTCAGAATGCAACATAACTGTTACCTCCTTTGGGAAGACTTTCTTGCTTTTACCATGAGAATGCCATGATCATTGTTTGTGCTCCATTACATATATACATATGTGTACAACATATACACACAACACACACCCCTATCCTTCCATGTACTATAGCCTGAAGTCCTGAGCATATGTAATTATTTTATACATGTCTCTGTGAGTAGACATGTTTCTGCCCCTACAACCTTGTTTTGTACCTTCGTATCTGCCCCATATCAGGACTTAAGTAAAAAACAGTTCATTAATCAGTAAATAAATATAATGTAAGTCTGGACTTTCATAAACTGTATTCAGGCACATAAACATACACATAAACTCATGCCAAGAAAGAAACTACAAAAGAACCCTGGATCCAATATTCAGATACTTTCTTACATTAATCAATTTAATAAAAGCTCTTTAAGAACCTGTTTCAGGGCTGGGGCTGGGGCTCAGCAGTAGAGCACTCGTCTTGCATGTGTGAAGCCCTGGGTTCAATCCTCAGCACTACATAAATAAAAAAAAAAAATATACAGGTATTGTGTCCACCTACAACCAAAAAAACTATTTAAAAAAAAAAAAAAAAAGAACCTGCTTCATTCCACTGGAAAGAAAAAAAAAAAGGAGCCACTCTCTGGAGTCAATAAGAATTTCAGAAGCAGGGCAAACAAGCTAAGGAAAGAGATTTAGTAAATTCTAAGAGTTTAAAAGGAATACTCTAAGGCTTGAATTTTCATTCTTCAACAAAGAAGGAATTATACAGGTGAACCACTGAAACACCTGAAATGAGCTCTAGTCTTTTCAGTGCCAAAAAGAGTCCACAGCATACTGTGAAAGGAGAGTTCTCACAAATAAAAAGCATTAGTCTTCTTTTAATTTAATAAACAGAATTTCATGTGGATCAAAACTTAGGTAAAATTACAACCCCTACAGAGAATTTTACCACTCGAAATTTAGTATTCCATATACATTCAGACTACAATGCCCTGGTATTTACATATTTTAAAAGCTGTGCATGTGCAGATCATTATAGGTGCTATCACAGGCCTTACACAAAGAAAATACATGGTCAAGCTGTTGATTAGTACTTTCTTGTGAAGAAAGGCAGGACAAGAACCATTATTTAAAATGAAATTTCAAGAATAAGCTTAGTTTTACAGACAAGAAAACAGAGTCATCTTTTATGAGCCCACCTAATATACGAATACCCCTTACACACATGCATATAAAAAAATAATACCCTTCTATCCACTCCATCATCAGCCTCTAGAAAGAAATTAAGAAATTAAAACATTAAAAGTTCTACTTTTATAATTCATATGTAGCTAAACTATTAAAATAACCCATTATTCTTTGCTGGTAAAAATTTCTACTGATATATTTAGGTGCAAAAGGTATCAGGTCAGGTAAAAGATCCACTAGCAAGTTATCCCTAAGCTATTTTCTTTTTCAGTTATCCAGCTGTCTAGACAGATTTGGCTGCTGAATTGGAGGGGAGGAAAAGGAAGGCTATTTTTGGACTCCGATTTACTGCTAAAGGAATAAACATTCCATTGTGAAGGATCTCACAAAATGAAAAAAGAAGAGTGGACACTAAGACTGTTTCCTTTGGGCACATTGCCACCAGTGAGAAGGACCTGAAATAGATACAGATGTGCAAACTACCACGTAAGCACTGAACAAATACAAAAGATGCTGTGTGAGGGGTGTCTATAAAAATACTTATTTTTTCATTTATTCAGCAGCAAGATGGCTAACAATTGAGCCCCACTGAAAGCTCCTGTTATATATGCTCACTTTAGTTGATTCAAGTTCTGCTTTTTTGATCAAGGACCTCTGGGTTATGTGTCACTGACCAGCTTGCATTTGATCACTGACACATTATTATTCTCACTATTCTCTTCTTTTCTACTAACCTAATGTTAACATTATAAAACTGTTTGCCCAAATAGCACCATATCATTTCATTTCAGTATTTATCATACTAGTTCTATAAAACATACTGCAGAGACCCTATTCTATATCAAGTTTGATTATCCACAGGATCTGAAATACTGTTATTAAAAAGCTTTGAATATAACAGCCTAGAGAAAAACCAGATCCATTTTGCACATTCTTGAATATAAAAACAAAAGTGATTGTTTGGAATCATGTTTAACAGGGAAAAATATTCAACTGTACTTAAAAAATAAAAAATAAAAAAAGCTCCATTCTGTAGAAGCAGAAACCACAGAATCCCTGTATTACAGTTACAAAACAACAACAACAATAATGGTGGTGGAAAAGAGAAGCTAGTGATGATAACAAGAGCAACCAACACTTAAAAAGAGTGTCTATGTACATATCTTACCTATTTAAGTATGCCAAAAGGACTATGAGACAACAACTAGACAATCTAACTGCAGAATCCTACTCTTAATCATTATGCAATAAGTATGTTTTATGGTGAAAAAAAAAAAGAAAGAATTTCTCAAAGCATTTTCACATAAACCATTCCATACCATAATGCTTATTTTAAAGCACAGTATATCATTACTACAATAACAGTAGAAATTCACCTCCTCCTGAAGCAAAGAATGAAGGGTAGGGTAATAAACCATTGCACATGTAAAAGTATTGTTTCCCAGGAGGAACACGTATTCAAGTGCAATACAGTAAAGCTGGTGGGGAGATCTAAAGATACTTGATGCAAGAATATTACCATAATGTTATTAAAATAATCTGTTTTCCGCAACTTCCTAAGAGGAAAGGAAGCAACTGATACAAGAAAGTATGCTTATTGATAGACGTGTAGACTAAGGAACACCTGAAAAAGAAATATAATATCCCCTGCTTTCTTTTTTTTTTTTAACTTGGGATTAATCAGAGTTTAAAAATATTAAGTAAAAAATTTCCAGAATTAAACAACTCATAATTTTCCAGCTAAATGCCAGTCTAAGTACTGTGATAACATCTCATGTTGTGCTGTCTGCCAGGGATGGGTCATGAATCATTTATTTGTCTATCACATCCACTGTATATACACTACCCACCCATTAGTCACTTAGTAGCCAACTCAGTTATAAAATATATTGCTTGGGCATCATGTGTAGTAGCCTAATGCTACATCACAATGCCTATGTTATTTACCACATTTTATCTTATCACACAGGTGCTGTAACATTTCACATCACAAGAAGATGAATACAATACAATAAGATATTTTGAGAGATCACATTCACATAACTTTTATTACAAGGTCCTATTATAATTCTGTTTTATTATTAATGTTGTTATCTTACTACCTTACTATTTCTAATTTATAAATTAAATTTTATCATAGGTATATGTGTATATGACAAAGCATAGTATATATAGGGTTTCACATTCAGGCATCCACTGGGAATCTTAGAGCATTAGAGCACCACTGCAGGAAAGGGGAAACTACCTAGAAAGCTTTCCTTCTGTTATTTATTTTTAATATTGAAAATTAATAGACTGTTTACTGTAGAAAATGGTATATTTCAAACCCCATAGACTTTTTTCTACTTTATGAATAATCTGCTGGATATAAAAAGAAATAATTTAGCATGTATTCAATTTCTTCATAAGTAAAATTCTGTACAGATCAAAAGAATT